AGGTGAATTTGCACTTAAGAATGTCTTTATCTTCAAATGAATTGATAAAACTTTAATCATTTCTTTATAATCAAATAAAATTTCTCGTAATTTGGCATTGCTTGCTTTATCAAGCACTAACTTTTTAGAGCATTTACTCCCTCCGGTTCTTTTTAAACTTTACACTTTGACTTCACACAAATTAAAGAAATAAATTTTACTTTATTGTAGAGTACACTGTTGTGACACTGTTTGACACTGTTTGACACTGCTTTGGCATTGTTTGACACTGTTTGACACTATTTAACACTGTTTTGACGTAGATTTCTTTGCCAAATAAGGAAATAAGGGAAGTGTGCAATTTATTTTGGACCTACCAAAAAAGAAAGTGTGAAGTTTATTTAGAACCGGTATATTATAAACTCTAAGATACTTTTCTCATTGCACGTGTTTATTTAGAGTGTGGTATTTTTAAAGATATCGTGTATATGATAGTGTGAATAATTTTTTTAATGAAAAACTAACAAAGTTTTACACTGATGCCCTTGGCCATAATTCCTGATTCATCACTGATTGGGAGTATTTTATTTGAATATTCCATATAAAAGTTATGAAAAAACTTGCACGGAAAAAATTGCATGATTCATTCTTATGTCTTGGTAAGAAAATCTATATAAAACGTTATATGTGGATATTATAGTGATAAAAAAACTTAAAGATGTTTTTGCAGGTCCTATACTGTGCAACCGTCCCACCATGAGTATCATGCTCCCCCTCGCAAAATGATGTAGTTTTGGACAAATTAAAAAAAATCGTGTGAACAGTACACGTGTGAACAATACACGCGTGTACCGTGGCATTTTTTTTTACCCAGTAGCATGGATGATGTAACTCGCGTGTAAAGATATGTAACCCGCGTTATTGATCTATGTAACTCAAGCTCTTTCAAAATGTAACTTGTCAAATATTGATTTCAATGTAAACAATGAAAAAAGAGAGTCTAATTGCACAATTGCTTTAGGTAAAACAGGAATATGTTTTGTTTCTAATATCATGGTCATAAAAAAATAATTTTTTAGAAAAAATCATTTTTTTGTTTTAATAGCAGGAGTTTATTTTTTAATGTAACTCGTGTTATTACAAATGTAACTCGCATTGATGGCAAATGTAACTTGGGTGTATACAGAATGTAACTTGTTGGAAAATTGAACAATGATTTTTTTTGTTTGAGATATTATAAACATTGATTTCAATGTAAACAATGAAAAATTGATCCTAATAGCTTAATTACTTTTTTTATAAATAGTGAATATGTTTTATTTTTAATATTAGGGCAATAAAAATGATATAGTTGGAGTTTATTCTGTGGTGTAACTCGCATACATTAAAATGTAACTCGTGTATATTAAGATGTAACTTGCGCAGAAGAAGATGTAATTTCATGATATATTATCAAATGTAACTTCAAGAATCAAAATAAACAAACTCAATGTCTTAAAAACCTCTAAAATTTTTTATAAATTGGTAGTAATTTGAATTGAAGAAAAAAGTAGAAAACGTAGTGAATGAGTATTTTTTGGCAAAAGTAGTGTATGATTACAATTTAATTAGTTAATGATGAATATAAGAAAAATCAAAATTAGTTTTTAATATTTAGATGGAGAGAAGAATAATTGAAGAAAACAAAAAAGAAAAATTAGTAGATAATGCTCCAAAAAAATCTGGGCGTGAACCTTTGAAGGAAAAGAAAGGAACGAACGTAGTGCTAGCTCCAGAGAAAACGGTGCCTTATTGGAGCGGCATACCATGCACATGGTATGCCGGTCATACGATATAATTTGCCATGTTTTTGATAATGATGTGTGATTATTATTTTTTTTGGTCTTTTTTTGTTTTTTTTCAAAAGTTTCTTTCCATCAATTTCAATGGAGTCAAAGACTCACTATTTTTTAGCTTGAAAATATGATGGAATAAAGCAAAATGACTCACTAAACTGTCTGCGCTTCTTTGTTATGAACTAATAGTAAGTCTATGCAATTTTCGACGCGATTTTCAATATGAGTCATTCAGAAACTGTCTCTCTGTGCTTTTGTACAGGGGTAAGACTGCGTACATCCGACCCCCCTTACCCACCGTTGGTGGGAGCCCTTGCGACACTGGGGTAATGATGATGATGGTTTTTTCAAAAGTTTCTAATAAAGGGAGAGTCTTCTAGTAAAACACTGAGGATATTTTTTCGGGAAAGTTCCCGTGATAGGACTAAAACAGTTTGAAAATTCCAAAATAGGACTGTCATGTTTTTTATTCCCAAAATAGGAGTAATTACTGCCAAGTTTGGAAAATACTGCCATGTTTGAAGTCTAATAGTGTCAAAACATGGCAGTAATTAGTCTTATTTTGGAAATAAAAACATGATAGTCCTATTCTAGAATTTTCAAACCTTTTTAATCTTATTTAGGGTTATATTCTCTAATTTTCCTCAATATGAAAAATAGTTTCAAGATCATTGTGCTTGTCGGAAGCACAATTATGGCCTCCTTGCAATTAGGTAACTATACCCCTCTTGATTAAATTACTAGATTTTCACCCGTGCGATGCACGGGACATATATTAATGTATAGTTATATTATTTTATTTATTAACATTATTAGTGAATGTGTATCATGCAAACCGTATAGATGTAATAGACAAATAATAATTTTTATTAAGGAAAAGATACTTACCACTCGTAATTCATAGTTATTATGATTTTGAATAAGGAAAAAATAAAGGATACAATAAGATTTACCAAGACTAAACATTTCAAAACACTTCCTTGTAAACAACATTTGTAGTATTGTAATTCTTTTCCCCATCTTCACCGTAAATCAATATATTCAAACCCTTACGATTTGTCTCTCTAGATATCGCAACATACAATTGAACATGTGCAAACACTGTTTTTTTAATAAGAGTCCAATATGCGTCATAGATTGACTTTGACTCTTATTTATGCTATCACATAAGAGGTCATGACATAAATTGTCTTTTTTGAAACTTGAACGGTATTCGTGCATCAGGTGGAATCGAACTTAACCCTGAAATGACAACTTCATAGCCCCTATACTTTCCACCTCAAATCCTTGCTCCAATGATGTGATTTCCAAGCTGGGTAATAATTAAAAGATGTGACATATTCATCTGCTTTTGAGTATAACTTGCAAATGCAAATGCTATCTGAATTTAAATATATTCTTGATTCTTTGTTAACATTCAAAGATGTGATATATTCATTAATTGCATCCAGCACATCAAGAGTTCGAGCTAGGATTGCACACTCTTGTACACACGTTTAAAACTTGTAAGATAAATATATACATTTTGACTTTAGCTTGGTTAACCCATTTCAATTCGTAAAACCCAAACCCAGCGTATACATTAGGAATTTTTTATCTACCATGCACACAAAATCGAAAATTCAAAATGTTCTACTCCGTATTTTAAACCATAGCATTTTACTCTTGTAAACTTGTAAGTGTTTCTTGGAAAGAAAACTTTTACTGTTATAAATTACATACAACCGTGATGTTAAGTACATTTGACTAGTGAATTTAATAAATTAGGTAAAAAGGAGAAGTTCTTTTAAACGTTGTCTCGAACCACCATTGCATGAATACGACCCCCTGCAGAAACAAATTACGTATGGACATTAATTGTTACCATGTGTTTTTAATTTAATGCAATCAGTCATCACAAATCACAATATACATAGTAAAATGCCTTAGAGTATACCTCTTCATCGTGCAAAACCAACTCAAACTTCCGCCCTCCCTTGGCTGTGCAGCCACTTTGTAAAACTCTAATTGTTATTGACTTATTGGCCATATATGATCATGGACCACGTACTGTTTCTCTTCGAAGTATCTGCCATTGCTAAGCTATGGTCCTAACAACACTAACTCTCAATGCTCAGAAATGTGTTACGGTGAAGTGTTGAGCAAAAGGGGTTGTATTTATAGTGGTTTATTGTAGGGTGTGTGCTCCTGTCTTAAGTAATATTTTACTCCCAAAAAAAAAAAATAGGAGTACTAAGAAATTCATTTATTTGTTGGACAATGTCCAAGATTAGACAATACGTTTATTTCTTGAGATTGTCACTAAGTTTATTCAGACCTGAGTGCTTTGCATTTAAAGTAACCTTACTATTTTTGCTATCACATATCAAAAGAGTCCAAATAAACAATAGTGCATCTTACTCCGTATATGTGTACGCACTGGCGGAGCCAGAAATATATGGTTGAAGGGGCCGGTCTTTAAAAATTTTACATTGCAGGGGCCAAAATTTAAAATATCAACATATTTTCTATAGATTAAAAGTATTTATATATAATATATACTTAATAATTTTTTTCTTGTAGGGGCCGTGTCCCCCTCCAGCCCCTCCCTGTCTCCACCCCGTGTGTACGTTACTTCAGCATGATAACTCGAACCACTGGCCCGTCACTTTGCATTTAATGCATCTTTACTATTTTGACATCGAAATCAAAATAAAAAAGATTTCTTAACTACATATTGAATTTAACATGCAACTTTAGTAGATAATGCTCCTCGAGTTGGTTGAATTCAATAACCAATGTAATTTGTTTTGTTCAGACTTCGAATTGACTGCCTGGTATGCATTTAATACTCAAACTCATTGCACTGGTATTATACATGTAGTAGATCCGAACTGTACTCTAGCAACCCGACCCAATCTTTGACCCCTGCAGTAGATCCGAACTGTACTCTAGCAATCTTTGACCCGGACTTTAGGCGGGAGAATGAGCTGTTTTTCCACCTCTTTTTATATAGAGGTAGATTATTTACTACTGACCAATGTTTTGAGCAATGATCTAAGCCGATGGCATATGTTAGTTGCCCTTTTTTGTATATTTAAAGTACGGTATCCCAGATTCTCCTATGTGTTCTTTTTTCATTAATCAATTAAATCCAATAGAAAGCAGTTTCAAGAAAAGTGCTACATTTTCAGCAAAAAGATGCAGCCAGCCTATAACGAAGAGTTCTCCCCCTTTTCTCTCGTTGAAAAGAACTTGACCCAAAATAATACTGTGTAACTATCACTTTATTTTATTTTATTTTTAAAAAGAACTTGATATTTCAATTCCATATCTGCTCAAACACCATACAAGGCGTTCATATCTTTCCCACATACCTTTTCTCTTCATCTCTATATATTGCTCTTTACTACACACCGTGAACACCATGCCCACTTTTTTCCACATCTCGCCTTCAACTTGAGTTTTTCCGTTTTCCCCCATAGAAGAGCATCAAGCATTGCTAGATTATTTGTACGGTACAAGTCGAGCTAAGATAAACTTGGTGACCACCTGATATTATTCATCAATGTCTCAATGACAAGAAGTCACAGAGCTTACAATTTATAAATCATCATAAAGTGAGGCAGCACCAGAGTCAACAACCAGCCGATTTGGAGCCATGATTTCAACCACGTCATGCACTTTCCCATCATGATTCCCCACATAATAAAACCTCAGCTTGTCTATGTCAGCAACAATTCTTGCATACCCGAACTGCCCCGCCCGGAACTCAGACCTCAAGGGCTGAGGATAAACGGGATCTGACGGATGGTCAATCCTTGGCTCCCAAACAGGCTGCCAATCCTGTCCTCCCATCCCAATCACAACATGCACAGGGAAAGCCTTCCAATCATCATCACCGTTCATCTCCAGGTTTCCACATGTGAAGTTATTCAAAGGGCAAAACCTTTCGTAGCGGTGGACATGTCCCCATAGGGCCAGACTGACCCTGTTCTTGACAAGAAGAGGCTCCAAGTGCTGAACCATTCTCTGCCTAACGGGAGCATCCTTGTGGCCGCTGCTGGTTGTGTACATTGGTCTGTGCCCTTGAACAACCACAAATGGTGTCTTCCCCCGATCAACCGACTCCAAGTCTTCCTTGAGGAACCTGTACTGGTTACTTTCTGGGAGGAAATCTGTCTCTGTCGATATGTACACAAAGTGAACAGCTCCAACGTCCAGTGAGTAGTAAAGGTTTTGCGTCATTGGAGCCCTGTCATCCAAATGCCATGCGCTCATATATTATTTTTAGGCTTAAATATGTTTTGAATCCTGCAAATGTGACACACTTTGTTTGCAAATATGATACACTTTGTTTTAGGAAAATGACTTTGTAACATTCATGTCAGCCTAATTCAAAAGCTTCTCAGGCTTTCTTTGGTACCCATTTCTGACTTAATTTACTACGTCCTCCGATTTTTAATAAACTTCACACTTTCCTTTTTGTGACGGTCTAAAATAAACTTCACACTTTCTTATTTTCTTTTTTTGGCAAAGAAATCTCCATCAAAACAGTGCCAAACAGTGTCTCTACAGTGCCAAACAGTGTCAAACAGTGTACTCTACAGTAAAGTCAAATTTCTTTCCTTATTTTGTGTAAAGTGAAAGTGTGAAGATTAAATAAAACCAGATGGAGTAATTTTTTTCATCGGCATGGTAAGAAAAAAAAACATTAGGAGCCCGTTTGGTGACCCATTTTTCCGGCTTATCAGGCTTATCAGTCAGCTTTTTCACCAAACACGTAACTTTTGATTTCGCGCGCTGAATTATTTAATAAGCTGAAAAAGTAAGGTTGAAGTTACTTTTCCGGCTGTATTGGCCGAAGTTACTGTAGAGGATCATTTTAGCTATTTTTCATATAATTTTTTATTTTATTTATTAATAAAAAATATTTTAAATATAATTTTTTAATGAATCAGCAGAATCAGCCAGAACTTCATAAATTTCAACAGAACCAGCCAATACAACCAATTTTAGTGTTACCAAACGGGCTCTAGGTAGTACAAAGTGCCTTATTCTGCTTATTTGTGGATCAAGTAAAATAAGTAATTGTTGCTTACTTATTTGGATGAGGTAGACTTTACCAAATATTTGTACTTCCAGAAAAGTATCCCATACTAGAGAAGCCAAACACACCCTTATCAAACTGGCCCTAAATAGCTTTTGAGAAGTCATTTAGTTAAAAATTGATTTTATCAAACCTTTCCTTCAACAAAATTTAGGGGTAAGACAGGCCTGCATTTTCTTGTGAGAAGTCATTTAGTTCAAAGATTATAGAGAACCTTGTTTATTGTAAAAATTAGTAGCCTTTGAAAATAAAAGTGATTTTCAAAAAGTAGAAGTTGGAGTATTTGGTAAAAAAAACCAAAAAAGAAATATACGTTTTTGATATATCATGTAAGTAAAGTATTATAAAAACACCTATTTGTACATCTGCTTATAGTTTTAAAGTGCTCAAAATAGAAACACCTATTTGAAAAACACTCTTTTAATTTTTTAGGCAAAAGCATAAAAGTAGTCTTTCTAAACAATGGCAAAAACTCTTAAAGCCATATCAGCCAAATAACCCAGAACTGGCTACCAAACAGTGCCTAAGTTTAAACTTACTTTCCTCCAATAGAAGCAATGGCGCTATTCGGTTCTGAGGAGTTCCCGGGCATGTTGAACCTGAGGCTGTAGGGAACCCCACACTCACCACCACTGTCTTGCTTGTAAATCGGGACAGCCCAATCTGGCCTCCAGGGCTGTGTTGGCCAATCGTATTCGTGATTGCCTATGCAAACATGGTAGGGAACCATGGACGCGATCGGTTCAATCTGGTTGAAGAAGGTGTCCCACAACCAGGAGTAGCCTCTGGCATAGCTAATATCCCCAACGTGTGAGATCATTGCTGGTTTGTCACCTACAGCCTGGATGTCGCGAATGATCCACCTGATGGTTGAGTTGCTCTCTTCTTGAGTTCTCAGGAAGGTATTGTAAGGTGTTGAAGTCCCCATGTCACCGAACAAGAAGGCAATTGTCTCCTTTGAGTTGCGATCAGGGGATACAAAGCTGTAAATGTTGCTCCATCCCCTTGTATCACTTCCCACCTGCAAATAAATTCATCATTTAGATATTTACTACACATGATTGCTGGGTAGATTACTTCCCAAATTTAAACATTTGAAAAATTACTGGCCAAATATACATGCAAGTGAACACATTATAGATTTCAATAATTAAATAATCTCATTGTTCATTTGGTAAATATACATCCGATTGTAAATACCCACGTGGTTTGCTGGCATTCAAGTTACACTCAACAACTGTCAATCAAGGTTTACTTTTTTGCACCTACTATTGGCGTGTAAAAAGAGTTGGAATGTATGATAATGCTTCAACGTTATGTCGTTATTGCCAAACGTGAAAAATAAAAAATATTGCTAGTACAATATAGTTGTCTGACATTATAAGTAGTTCCCTTTGCTTTTAGCCTGGTTTTGATGAAAACGGCGACTCTGTTTTGATGTAACATACTCCCCGATTTTATGTCTCTGAGGATCAATAGTGTCAGCCATTTCAAAATTTTGATTTAGATAATTTGTAATGGAGCCAAAGATTCATTATTTTTTGGCTTGAGAATATGATGGAATAAAGCAAAATGGCTCATTAAACTGTCTGCGCTTCTTTGTTATGAAGCAGCAGTCAGTCCATGCAATTTTGGACGCGATTTTCACTATGGGTCATTCGGAAACAGTCTCTGTGCTTTAGTGCTTTAGTACAGGGGTAAGACTGCGTACATCCGACCCCCCTTACCCCACCGTAGGTGGGAGCCTTTGCGGCACTTGGGTAAATGAAAATGATGAAATGATAATTTGTAAATTAAGAAAAATATAAATGGTCACAAAATGATCAAAACTACAGAGTATTGTTCTGAGACCAGGCCCGGTCCTGACATTTTATGGGCCTGGGACAATACAAATAGACTGGGCCTTAGGGATAGCGCGCGAAAATCTATAATTTAAAATTATACAATTTAACGTCAAAATACGAGTATAACACATAAAAAAACTAACAAAGCATATGGTTAGAAAATATATAAAAAGCGTATTGATAAGTGACATTCGATGATACAATGTACCTAACAACCGAATGAAACAAGTAGTGCAACTATTAGGCGCAATAAAAAATTCGAATCAAGGGAATTTGTGAAAGTTATATCTTGTATGAGTAACTTTTTCATATTTTAAACCACATTTTCACTAGACATAACAAATTCTAAGTTTCTAAATTATGAACACTAAAGTTCAATCTTTCACTAAATGAGAGAATCGGAAGAAATTTGTGAAATATATCAATGGATATACATAAGACATGTACACTAAAAGATTAAAATTAATGTAATAATGCTTAATGATTCAAAAGAAATGGTGAAACATGTTCCCAATGAATTCTAAAGCGGATGTTTCAATATTATAGACTTGTATTGTGTACATGGTAAATAACAAATTAGAAGTATCTAAAAATATAAGTTTGATTTTATTTTTTATTTTTTTATAAAATATAATTTATATATATTTAAAATATTTATGTACATACATACACACATATTTGAAAATTTTATGGGCCCTACTAGAGCAAAGGGCCCTGGGCGCATGCCCCTCCTGCCCGTGCCCCAGGACCGGCCCTGTCTGAGACAGGTTAAAAGGACTCTCCCTATGAGACAAATCAAACGGGATAAAGAAAGTACTCCCTCGCGATCTCAAACAAGTTCTCATCTTCCTTTTTCGGAAGCCCCAAATTAAAATTCTCATTTCCATTTTTGGAATGTTTTTATTGTAAAGTTACTCTTATACATTTACTTTATTTATCTACCTTACACTCACTTTTAACCCCACTCTATTTTTATAAGGATATAATGGCAAAGCCAAGAGCAAATATTTAACTTTCTTAAAAACTGTAAAGTCCAGTAGAGAATGTGCAACTCAAATAGCCCAGTAGGTTCATTTTAGCTTTCCAATGACATACAAAAATCTGAATTAATTATACACTTCAGATTATTAGATATGATCATATCTAAGAAGTACTCTGTCCAATTTTAAGGTTTCAGTTACCTAAATGATCCTCCATTCCATTTCAAGATTTCTGGTTCAGTTTACACGATCTAGTTAACTCTTCAATATATTATATATGTATTAGTAATTAAAATCTTTGAAACTAAAAAAGTCAGAATCTAACATGATAAAGTATTACTCCGTATCTTATAAACTCATAGATTAACGTTCAAAAGAAAAACTCATAGATTAAAAGAAAAGAGAATTTTAAGCTGATTCTGTATAAAGTACTTATATTAAAGTAGGAGTGAGGGAGTAAGGATGTTTTTACTTGGACTGTAATTTGTCCCAGACCAGACCAGACCAGTCCAGACCAGACCAGTTCAGACCAGACCAGACCAGACCAGACTTGGATAGTTATAAAATTACAAAGAAACCAGACCAGACCAGACCAGACCAGACCAGTTCAGACCAGACCAGACCAGATCAGACCAGACCAGACCAGCAAATTACAGTCCAAGTAAAAACATCCTAATTCAATGAAGAGATATTACTATTAGCCCCCGAGGTTATGTCATAATTATTATTGAAATCTTGCATTTTCAAAATTCAATTGGTTACCCCCGAGTTTTGGTCATTCTCACAATATGTCCCTCATGTTAATATTTGTTAAATTAAATTAAATATAACTCTTAAATTCAATGTAAGTTGTCTATAAATTAATTTCTAAAGTATAACATAATTTATTATCATAATTATAAGTCATTGTTGTTGACAGTTATTTTTCTACTTAGTTACTCGATCGTGGAATAACTATTCATGTGAGTAGTTAAGGGGAAGATTCACGAGTAATATTCATGGGATACATAAAAGAAAGTTATTTAAAAAATGTGTTGTCAAAATTATAGGCACTTCTTCATCATGAATATAATAGTATTTGAAATTCATCCGGTTGAATTATTCTCAATGACATTTCTTTCATGTGTAGCAAAGAAGAAATACTAAGAAAAAGGGAATTTCATCATTTCATGACCTAAAAGATAGGTCAAACATCAATAACGACAATAAGCGACCTAAAATATAGAATGTATTGGTATAAGAGCTAAATAAATGAAAGCTAGTAATCTAAAACCTAAGATAACATGGATTTTGATTTATTTAAATATTTTATTTACTCTGTTACTAACTTGTGATGATTCTATCTTCACAATTTTTTTACAATAAAAAGTCGGGAAAAGGTGCAAATAGGCCCATGTACTAACAAAAAAAAGGTCAAATAAGCCCTTATTTAGGAGGCTCTGTCCGGCCGTCGCCATTTGGAGTGGTTCCCGGTGGAATTTTTTGATGAAATTTTTTGAGCATCTGATTCATTAAGTCTAGTTTACTCATACCAAATTCCAGCTAAAACTTCAATCGGGAAGGCATTCAAATGAATTCTTGAAAATAACTGCGCAGTTAGAATCACAGTTATCATCAAGAATTCATTTGAATGCCTTCCCGATTGAAGTTTTAGCTGAAATTTGGTATGAGTAAACTAGACTCGATGAATAAGATACTCAAAAAATTTCATCAAAAAATTCCACCGGGAACCACCCCAAATGACGACGGCCGGACAGAGCCTCCTAAATAAAGGCTTATTTGACCTTTTATGGTTAGTACATGGCCTATTTGCACCTTTTCCCAAAAAAGTCTATTGGTTTTATAAGTGAATGATATTTAATTTTCTAAAATAGAAGTATCGAAATTCATGATATTGTATATCTTACGTAGTACTTGTGAGTATTTTCCCTTAACTAGTCTCAATAATATTTATTCCACGATGGAGTGGCTAAGTAGAAAAATAATGATCAACAATAATGAATTATAAATATGATAATAATTTTGTTTAAATTTAAAAATTAATTTTATAAACAATTTTCATTGAATATAAGAGTTATATTAACGTGAGGGGCAAAGAATGAAATTTGATTTAACGAATATTAACGTGAGGGGCAAAGAACGAGAATGATCTTAACTTGGGGGTAATTAATTTAGTTTTGAAAATGAAAGGTTAATACTAATTATCCCTTCAATGAATGAATAACAAAAAAATACATACGTAATTACAGAAATAAAGGGAAAAATAAAACCTGATAGAAATATTTCCTTCCATCCTTCAAATTGACCATAACACCATCGTGCATGTACCCAGGGTCTCTCCATCCAATGCTCTGATTTGCTGGAGCACCGCACATATGTTCTCTCTCATACCTCCCGACCCGAGTACCCGCTACCTGATCCAAGTTCTTTCGGGCCAACCCATACCTGACAAAACTCTCCTTCCCATCGTGAGTCACAAACATGACCCGCATCTCCCCATCCTGACCCGTCAGTGACAAATGAACCTGCTCCGGGCCCCAACCCGTCTCAAATCCAACCTCTTCCGACTCCGCCAGCACATGTGCGGTTCCCGGCAACGGGTTATGATCGTCGTCCATGCGCGTGTCATCAACCTCTTCCTCAGTCCACCGGAAGAGCCGGAACTGATAAGCCGACCGGAGATTGACCAAGGAGATGGAAATCGAACCCGACCCGTATTCCCATCCGGGCGAAGACGACAGGAACACGTAGCCGATGAAATTGTCATGGGAGGAAGTGGCCGGGGAATAAATCCCGAGCCAGTCGAGCTTCGACGGAGATTCGACGCCGGACCACCGTATCGTCACGGAGTCACCAGTTTTCACTAAAGTCTTCGGAGAAACGGAGATCAAAACCTCCGAGTAACAGGAACATGAAGATGCAATCAGTATCAACAAACAGCACAAAATGGTTGAGTTCCGAAAATTAATCATATCTTTCAGATAAATTGGTTGTCAAGTATGATTGATCTTCGGCTTTTAAAGTGGAAGGTGAGTGCCAAGATCTCGGACAGTTAGATAGCTACTGATTTCGTGGCGAATCGATTAAAATTTTCACAATTTTGTAAGACATCTGTCTCATGCGATTTTTGAAGCAGATAAGATACGGTATCAGTTTTACAGACAGAATGGGCTGCCAAATAAAGATGTTTGTTACTCCGTATTTGACTATTTGGTACTCCCTCTATCCCAATTTATTCATTCCTTATTTTCTTTCTGGGTCGTCCTAAATTGATAGTCTCATTTTCCTTTTTGGAAAGAAATATGTGGTCTACATCATTTCACTTTTTTCTACTCAAATCACAACCCCAACTTTTACCTTTTTAACCACTTCTTTAATATTTGAGTCCAAAAGAAATGGGATCATCAAATTGGGACGGAGGGAGTAATACAAAAATGCTATTGCTATCCCATTTTGTACCCCATTTTGTACTCACCCCCTATGTTTGTGGTTCACAAATGTACTTCATTAAAATGGAGCAATTCATTTAATGTGTTAGGCTTTTGTGAGCCACACAAATAGAGTGTGGTACAAAATGGGGTACAAAATGGGGCACCTATAGCAAAGTTGTTGCTAATATCAAAATGAAGTCATGAGTTAAATAATTGTATTGCTTGATTTTGCTGATGTATGTAAAAAATATTAAAAATATATTTTATTAATAAAAGGAAAAAATTATACTACCTCCGTCCCATATTTATCTTCATAGTTCGGTTTACGATGCTTGACTGACGATAAAGCAACTCGATCCCTGTTCACACTCGGATTATTTTTAGTAAATAAAAGTTACATATTCAGAAACTACATTAAAACCGCTACAAAGCGCTGATCAAGAAAATTTAAGTTTGACAAAAATTTGATATATAAAGTAAAAGATTAAGAGTAATTTGAGTTGACCATGTGAATAGTAACTATGAGATAATTTTGGGACGGAGGGAGTACTACGTATGGAAATAAATAAAATAATTTCTACAATAACTTCATTCGAGTCAAAATGCATAAATGGTACCTTAAGTATTGGTAATGTTGTATTTTGGTACCTTAACTCTTAAATGAATCAAAACGGGTACCTTAACTATACATAAATGTTTTGAATTGATATTTTATTCAAATTTCCGACAATAAAATCAACACGTGACGGCCAGAAATTCTATGTGTAAAGTCAACTTCACCTTATTTTTTGTCCATATGGCCGCTATAGGATGACTCTACACATGAAATTATGATCACTGTGAGGATTTTTTGGTCAAAAATTTGAATAAAATCTCAATTCGAAACATTTTTTCTATAGTTAAGGTACCGTTTTGATTCATTTAAGAGTTAAGGTATCAAAATGCAACATTACTAATACTTAAGGTACCATTTTGTGCATTTGACTTCAATACAATAAAAAAGTAACTTCAATTTTACTTTTTTTTTAACAAACATGCGAAATCAAAAGTTACGTGTTTGGTGAAAAGTTGACCGATAAGCTTAATAAGTCGCAAAATATGGTTGCCAATTGGGCTCCAAATTTAACTTCAATAGTTTAAAATACACGTACAAAGAAACATTTTATCATACTATAGCATGTTAGTTATATACCAGGCTAAACCAGACAGGACTTACATATATTAGATCATACCGGAAAATTAAAATGCAAATTGAAAAATTATGAATAAGGCTGTAAAATATAAATCAATTAATTGAAAAAGAAAAATTAGAAACATATAATAAGAAAAAAAAATGATAGGTGTACACCCTCTATATACTTTGGCATACCATATATCTGTGTCGGTGACGTAGCTCAACTAGTAGATAGATGGTGCCACAAGGGGTAAGTCTCGAGTTCGAATCCCGACAACTGTGATGAGAGGTTACTATGTAAAATTAATGCCTAAGAACTCTGCAAGTACTTTGGCCAGAGCTACACTCACTATCTGTCTATCTTGTGA